CTCGGTCAAGCTCACGTAATCCTGCAATCACCTGTATGCTGGTGTTTGTCACCTTTCTCTAGGCTTGAAGAGTGTGTGATGGTGGACAGGACGTCAGCATCCTTGAAGAGCCCGTTGTTTGGATTGCTCTGTACAGAGGAAATGTCCCAAAGAAAAGGTTTGGAGAATTTGGATCTGGATTCATTCTTCTGGGATTTTCTGATCACTCCAGCCTGCAGGGCCTGTGCTTCGCAGTATTCCTGGTCATCTACCTCGTGGTCCTCACAGGGAACAGCCTGATTGCACTCATCACAGTGGTGGACTCGAGCCTCCACAGCCCCATGTATTTCTTCCTGAGGAACTTGTCCTTCCTGGAGATCTGCTACACGTCAGTCACTCTGCCGAAGATGCTGGTGGGTTTCCTAATGGAAGACGGCAGGATCTCCTTCCTTGGCTGTGCTGCCCAGCTCTACTTCCTGGTTTTGTTTGGAAGCGTCGAATGCCTTCTCCTGGCTGCCATGGCCTACGACCGCTACGTAGCCATATGTGACCCCCCTGCACTACACCCTCATCATGAGCAGGGGTCTCTGCCTCAGACTGGTGGTGGGGCCGTGGGTGGCTGTTGCACCAGTGCAAGTAGGACAGACCTACCAGGTGTTCGCTTTGCCCTTCTGTGCATCCCGTGACCTTCATCACTTTTTCTGTGATGTCCCCCCTCTGCTGGAACTGGCCTGTGCAGACACTTTCTGGAACCAAGTGATGCTGTACACCATTATCCTGCTCTTCATAATCCTTCCCTTCTCCTTAGTAGTGATTTCTTACATTAAAATTATCAGGGCAATTCTGAAAATACCTTCAGTTCTGGGCAGATGCAAAGCCTTTTCCACCTGCTCTTCACACCTCGTGGTGGTGATGCTCTTCTATGGCTCTGCCACAGTCGAGTACTTAAAGCGACGGTCAAGGGATTCTGTAGACACCGACAAATACCTTGCCCTGGTTTACACTATTGTGACGCCCATGTTTAACCCTGTCATCTATAGCCTGAGGAATAAGGAAGTGAGAATTGCCTTGAGGAGAATCTTGTGGAAAAAGTGATACTACAGGGTACGGAAAATAGTCTCAAATAGTCCCAAATGTCCTGTTGGGGTATGTGGTTGCCTGAACAAAACCATCCCACCTTTGCTCAAACAAACCACCTGTCCGGCCTGGCTTTCATCGTTTTCAAGAAGGGGAAAGGTGTCCTGAGACATTCCTGTCATGTCCTGCCCCACCATGATATCTTTGTGCTCTGGAGCATCTTCAGTGCCCCTAGATACTTTCATCCAAACAGCTGCTTCAAGCTGTGTCTGACCAACGTAAAGTTAAAGGGAAATAGTCAAATCATGGTCAGCAGTCAATGAGGCCCAGAGGGTGACCCAACTGATGAAAAGAGATGACTACTCTCAGGTTTGAGAAAGAGAGAAATCATTTGCTAGTCCCCGTGGTCTACTTATGGTGTCCCTGAATGGAATTGCCTTGAAGACGTGAAAGTCATCTTCCCCTGCTGTTGTGTCTTGCATTGAGTTGTATAATGCTTAACTAACTTGACTTAAAGAATAAATTTTAAAAAGTGACTGGGGGGGAGTCCAGCGGTCCCAGAGACCTGTGGAGTGAGAAAACTCGTGGGTTTGATGGGTAAAGCAGAAGCTGCGCACAGAAGTAAAGCAAATAAGGAATTAATTCACTGCTTCCCATCAGCAGGCAGGTGTTCAGCCATCTCCAGGAAGGTAGAGCTCCATCACACCACATAGTTACTTGGAAATACAAATGACATCACTCCCAACAAC